ATAATGCTGTTTTCTTTTTTCTCTTCTTATGGGTGGGAGGGTAGCTTCACTCAGAAAAAAAAAAAGGAAAAAAGAAAACAAAGGTTTGGAGGATTGCTTAAACTTTCTCTCTTCTAATAATGTTTCTTATTTTCTTTGCCCGGCTTAACCCTTTCTCTCTTTCAAAAAATTCTTATTTTCTTTGCTTTGCGAAGGAAAGAAGAAATATTATTAAAAGAGAGAAAGGAATTACAGGCTAAGGGAGTAGAATAATAAATTTACCTCCTGTACCTTGTAATTCTCCTCTCTTTTTTTATAGTATTTCTTTTTAAATAATAAAAAAAATGAAATGCTATATGCATGTTTGCACTAATATTCCTTGTTCAGCAAAACATATTCCTTAGCGTGTAATTTCTTCTTCTTTAATTAATTTATATATATATACACATACGTGCATGCATATTCCTTAGTTATGTTCAGATGGTGAGATGTTCCTTTTTAGTTATATGGTTTCTACTGGTATGACCTTAAAGGGATGCAAAAATATGGGTTTAAAAAAAAGCACTCCAAGATATATTTCCTTTGTAAATGTCTTTCGATCGTTGGTGGTCCTTTACATGAGTACTATAGTTTGTTCTTCAAGGAAATTACGGTTCAACTTCTTTCTGGAATAGAAGGAAGAGCTTCAATCTCTGAGAAACATGGCATTGACGGTACCTTACTATTTGTAGGGGAAATCTTTTCTCGGATATGTCGACGTGGATCTTCAGGTAACTGAAACATGTCAAGCACTGGGATGCCCTTGACTCTGTTCTTATGATAAATAAAACAGGTGCTAGTTTAATTATTATATTTACAGAGCTTTAGCTATGCATTATTAGATTTATTCTGAAATGCCTGCAACTAAAACATGTAGGTCTTGTGAAAACGAGCTAGCTAAATTGTTTGGCGTGCATATCGGAATTTGTCTCCAGTAGTAAAACCGCTAACCAGAGAGGCTTCCTTATGTTTTATTTTTTTCTTTTTTTCTTGTAGGGGTGGGAGGTGATCTTGTCCAAATGTTCTGTTTATTTCATGGCATTTGGCTTATTTGAATTAGAATATTTCAGTTTTTTCAAAGTCTGTTAGTCTTCTTAGCACTAAAATATTGGAACTCCTGACTTGCAGATGTCCTCTTAAGTGAAGTGACCTCTCATGTTCTTAAACATGTACGAAGAATCTTATTGTCAACTACTGATCCAGTTGATGTGGATGCATTTGTGTCCGACCCTGCATCACAAGTTTGGTTTAATATTATGACAACGATTTCAGATTCCTACGCCTTGGAAAGAATATCTGATCAGCTTTTGCATCAGCTAGCAAATGAGCATGCAAGTGATGTCGAAGCATACTGGACTCTTTGGATTTTATTTCATCAGATTATAGAAGATCAAGTATCAGTTAGGTTAGCCATTATGTTTCTAACTCATTTTGCTTAAATAAGGGCTTATATTGCATAACCT